CTGGGGCCTGCCCCACCCCTTTGTGAATCTTTTCACTGTCACCACTTTGCCAATGGATGCCTTCAGATCTTTCTGTTTTCTTTGCGCTTTTGCCTATAGATTCCTAATCTCTCTAGCCTCTTCTTTGCTGTGTTTTTATACTCTCCTATCCACTTTTATCCTTTCTGCTCTCTGGCACATGGGTCAATCTTCCCTCCTCCCCCTCAAAAAACTAAACTCTTTAAAAACAGGAGCCATATCATTTTTTCATCTATTTTGATTGTCCACAGTGCCTAGTATCAAACTAAGCATATGGTCGGTAGCTGATTTATAAATATTTTCTGATTAATTACAGCCCATTCGTGATTTTTGAGGAGGGGTAATTACTGGGGGTTGAACCCAGGACCTTGGACTTGGTAGGCAAGCACTTTACCATTTGTTTTTATTTTTATTTATTTACTCTTTTTTGAAGATCTTGGGTTCTGAACTCACGGCCTCACACTCCACATCCTCAGCCCTTTATTTTCCTTTTGAGATAGGGTCACATACTAACTTTGCCTATGCTGGTCTTGAATGTTCATCCTCCTGTCTTTGCCTTCTAAGTAGCTGAAATTACAGGCTTGTTCCATTAAGCCCAGCTTCAAATGAATTTTGATGCATATATTTAAAAATAGTGAATCAGAAATAAAGGAAACAAAAAATAGGAATATTTTTTGTTCCAGTAAAGCTTACAGACACTGAAATTTGAATTTCAGATAATTTTCATGCAACACAAAATACTATTATTTTGATTTTTTTTCAGACATTTAAAAGTGTAAAAATCATTCTTAGTTTATTCAAAAACAAGCAGCATTTTTAAATATTGGCTATCAGGCTAGGTTACAGTTCCTAACCCCTGTTGCAGGTGACAGAGGGCACTAGAGGGTCCAAGAACAGCTCAGCATTTTAAATAACCTCCCCAGGCTTCAGTGGAACTTTGGCACCCAGATCTGAAGATGGGGGCAAGTAGCAGTCTGGGTGATAGATAGTGAGGGCCTGGAATAGGTAATCCTAACAGGAATGCAGAAGAAGGCTTGGTTTGAGATGGGTATTTTATAGTCAAAATCAGTAGGACTTGGTGATGGATGTGTATGGTGAGGAGAAAAAGAATGAGGTCCTGTTTCAGGATAGAAATCAAGTGCTAAGCTATGGAAACAGCCAAGATGCCCCACTATTGACAAATGCATTAAGAAAATGTGATGTTTATACACAATGGAATTTTATTCAGCCACAAAGAAGAATGAAATTCATTCGCAGGTAAATGGATGGAACTGGAGAACTTCATCTTAAGTGAAGTTAGCCAGGCTCAGAAGGCCAAAAGCTGCCTGTTCTCCCTCATATGCGGATTATAGACCTAAAACAAATGCAGTAATATTATGGGACACAGGTTACACTAAGGGGAGTCCGGAACCACCGTGGGAAGCAGACTAGGAGGAGTGAAGAGGACTGAAAGAGGCGAAGCAACTGGAGCTGCAATACAGATGTGCATGGGAACAACACGAGGAAATTCGTGTTACCTTTATCTCAAACTAGGAAATATCGTGTTTCTCACTTTATCTTTAGCTGTTATATTTTTTCTTCTACAAAATCAGAGAATAGAAGTGCAGAACAGATTCTGCCCGGAGGGGAAGAGGGGAAGGCTGTGATTGGCACTGGTGAGAGGGAGGAGGTGGCAAAGGGGGTAGGAGGAAGAACATGGTGCAAACATTGTATGCACGTGTATATAAATGCAAAAATGATACCTGTTGAAACTGTTCCAGGAATCAGGAAAGGGGAATGGGGGAGATAAGTGGAAGGGTGAATTCAAGTATGATATAGTTGATGCATTGTCAGAACCTTTGTAATGCTACAATGTACCCACACCCAGCACAACAACAACAACAACAAAATCAAGTGCCCAGTTTAACAAGATTCATATGCTGTCACTGAGCAGCAAAGAAACATAGTGCATTTTATGCATGTTTAGGTTTGGGGCCATTGGTGGGGTCTTCCTTTTATCAGTAAAAGAAGAGTAGTATTAATAAATAGTGCCTCACCTGGTCAGAAGACCACTCCTCTGGTTTTCATTTATGGGAGTGGTGCTGTTTGCTGTTGAATGGATAGCTTGATTCTGAGTGTTACTCTATAAAAATGATACTCCAGGGGTCTGTAAGAATTACCAACCACATGGACAGTATTCCCATCCTGTGACATCAAAAGAGGTGCTAAAAGATCTCTTCCAAAGTGTATCATTGCAGAACATAAACAAGGCTTCCTATGTTAGAAGAAATTCAAGTGGTAGAACCTTGGAAGCTGGTGAGAACAAACTCCCTCATTTTCACTTTATTCATGAATCCCTTTTCCCACATCTCAGTGGCTTTTGCCTTTTCAGCGTACAGTGAAGAGAGTCAGAACCTTGTAATCTCAATTGTTGCTAAATGTTACATTACCATAAAATTACATAAATATGCAATGTAGCCCTACAAAGCCCTTCCCACTGCATACTTGGAGAGGATTTTTGCCATGTGAATATTAATGAAAACTGAGTAATTTGTGTTACAGTTTAGCCGTGTGGACAAGGAAGATGAAGTTAAATAAGAAACTAAATGTGTAGCATCCATTCTGAAGTCTGCACGAAGATAACACTGATAAGACTGGAGAAATGACTGAGTGCAATGCATAATGTCACAGCCTTGATTTTCATGTTGATTTTATCATTCTATTCTTTGGTATTGGGTTTCTCCTCCTATAATATGAAGTAGCCGATTCAGTTTCTGTAGCATTTCTTTCTTTCTTTCTAAAAGATTTCAAGGATCTATTTGGGGCATGTCTACATTACCTACGTCTAGGTTTTTGTTTTTGTTTTTGGGGGGTGGGTGGGGGTGCAGGGCGTGGGCAGTGCTACAAAGCAAACTCAGGGCCTCCTACATGCTAAACAAGCCATTGAGCTATACTCTCAGGCCCAGATCCTGGATTCTTTAGCCATATTCTATAATCATCTGCTCAAGGAATTTATTAAATCAGCATGTGAAAAAAATGGGTGAGAAAATGATTGACTAAATGAAATTTGCAGTGTTGAAAAGGTTGCTTTAAGTATCATTAAACAGTCAGAAAATTACAAAGGTAGGTGTTCTTGAACCATTTATTCTACTTAGTTACTCCAGTTTAAGACAAACTGAAAAAAAAACCAACTTTTTCTTTTTTCTTTCTTTTTTTTTTTCCTAGTATGCACTCCATCACTGAACTGCACTCCATCCCTAGAACTCTGAATATAAAGGTCTTAACACTCCCCAAGCAGGATGTTTCACCCCTCCCTTTTGTACCATCTACCTCCCTTCTCTGAGCCGACCCTGGTAGCCTCCAGCACGTACTGAGTGCATGCACAATGATCTCCACCTGTAAACTGTGGGTATCCCCAGTTTACAGATGGGGAAACTGAGACCTGGAGAGCATAAATAATTTGCCCAAGGCCACATGTCTAGTCCCTGGTGGAGCTGAGATTCAAAGCTAGCACGCTAATTGCAGTAAACCTCCAGAGTGTATCCCACTGTGCAGTACCTGGGGGACCAACCTGACACTCCACCCTCATCCTTGCTCCCAGGCTACTCCATACCCAACAACCTCTACCCTCCCTGGCCATTCCCACTTCTATTCCCCACCCCAAGTCACCAAGGCTTTCAGATCAGAGGCAGCTCAACTTGTACAAGTAGTGCCTATAAGTGGCTAGGTGATTTTATGTTACCCAGCACCATCCAATCCCTTCCTACCTAAGCAAAAAGGGTTTACTGGAGCAAGAGACACTTCTGATTTGTTCTCCATCTAGTTCTAGAATTGATCTCCTTTAACTGATGTCCATCATGAGGCTGGAGTCTGGTCCACCATCATGTCTTTCCTGGATTGTTACAAAGAGCTCTTAACTGAATGCTTAGTCTCCAGACTTGCCTCTCCCCCAGCCCGTTCTTCCCCCAGATCCAGGTGTTTCTACATGAATTTGGTTCTCATGCCCTTCCTAAAACCTGTGGGGCTTCCCATGGCCCAAAACAATGAAGAATCCTTTTGGGTTGCTCATAAGGCTGTGAGTGACCTGGCCACTGATTGCCCAGGCCCCACCTTATGCATTGGCCCCTTATGCTCTCCATCCAGCTTGGAGAACCTGCTGTCATTTCTCCAGGAAGTGTGGCCTTGTCTTGCCTCTGAGCCATTGCACATGCCATTCCTCTGCTGCCACAGCACTTGTCTGATTACTCACATGTCTTCTTCGTCACCCTGGCTGTAACGGCAATAGTTCTAGGCACAGAGTAAAAATCCAGTAAATATCTCTCCCAAGTTCAGTGGAAGTCATCCATTCCATTCTCATGTTTTAGCAATTGGATCTGTCCATTCTCACCTTCGCTACCTGCTTTTGCCAGCCTTATTGATGACTTCCTGTCTTTTCACATGTGTATTTTGTATTTTTTTTCATTCTTCTCACCTCTGTCCCATTCTTTGGGTCCCCCTTTTAGAGATATTTTTGACTACTCTTCAGTCTAGTCTTCATGAGAACCAGCACAACCATGGTGGGCTACTTAGGTCCACAATTGCCAGGACCGTTGTAGAGCACAGCTGCAAATCTCACAGCCTGCCATGTCCCTTCTCTGGTGGCCTGAACTCTGTTTGGGCTGTTTGCCAGCAGCTCTGGGAAGCGTGAAAGAGTATTGTACTTGTTGCCCAGTGTGTTAAAGGGGTAGAATTTATCTCTCAATTATTTGTTGGAGTGAATCAGGAAGGCATACAGAAGAGAGCAGCTTGTGATGACCAGTGGGTTTGAAAGAAGTAGGAAGTCATATGAAATACAAGGGAATCTCTAAGAAGGCAATGCTCTTGGTCAAAATACCCGTCTTAAAGAAGCAGACCTAGATTTTCTGGCAGAGCCTACCTCTGACTTCCTATCAGGGTCAGTAGCAGAATTGCAATTAATGTTTCCCCATTGACAGCAGTGGTTCTTTCTGCTTTTTCTTTTCCAGAGGTGACACTGAAGGTGCACATTAGTGACGCCAGCACCCATCAGCCCATCACAGATGCACTCATAGAGATCTTTGCCAACCAGGTCTCTATCGCCTCTGGCACATCGGGGACGGATGGTGTCTCCTTCATCAAATTCCAGTATAAGCTGGGCAATCAGTTGATCGTTACCGCCACAAAGCATGCCTACGTGCCAAAATCTGCCCCATGGAAGCCCATCCGATTACCCGGTAAGGCCTTCTTCATCTTTCTCTAAAACAGCGTACAGTGATATAGGCAAGTGATGATGGAGTCAGACACAGAAGCAGTTTTGAAGGTGTGAGTCAGACAGCTGGTGAAATCTGTCAACTCCCTGCTTTGCCCTTTGAGACCCTGTTACAAGGAGGAAAGGCAGAGTCAGTGTGTGAAGCTGGCTGGGGCTCTGCTGTCTCATGCACACACAGCAGAGTGAAAAGCTTCAGTTCTGCTCATTTTAGCAACAGGCCATTTTCCACCTTGTTGATGATAACTAGTAGGGTGGGCTTTGACCGTGCTGTAGCATGCCACGTCATCATCCACTTCCTGGGCCCTGTTTCTCAGCTGTCACACCAGATGCCCAAGTGCAAGGATGTCCAAAGGGGTGGGGAGGCATCAAGAGACTGTTTCTTTCCTGTTTCCTGCCAGTCACCACATCAAAGCCAGGTGTCCACCATCAGGAGCAAATGCAGCACCTGGCACAGATCCAGCTTAGGTTGGGGTAGGTCCCTCTCTGTCCCTCACCCCAGCTCCATCTGGTGCCTTGACCACATTATCAGTAAGCCAGTCCCCTGGCCTCAATGCCAATTCATAACAAGAGAAGGTTTTTAGTAAAAGGAAATAAGGTTTATTATCCATCAGATGAAGAGGAAGACAGGGAGAGTCAGCCTCTCAAAGTTCTGTCATTCCATTCCTGAGGGAAAATGTCTGTTTTTTTAAAGGAGAGTTCAGGGGCTCAGTTCAAGTATGTGACAAAGTGCATTTCCCACAATAAGTACTGGCCTTGGTTCTCTAGGTGCCGTGGTGCCACATCTCTGAAGCTGTATGTCTTGCCTGACAGATTATTTCTTCTGGTGGTCAGAGAGAGATAAGGGATAGAAGACTTCCTGGTTTAATTGAAGAATAAAGTATGTTAACCTTGGTCTCTCCTGCATGGAGAGAGAGAGACAGACAGACAAAGGGGGGAAAATGTCAGTTTGAATAACAAGCAAAGTAAACTGGCCAGCATGCAAGCTGGCTACACCAAAAGTTTTTCCCTTTTATATTCCCAGTTCCATTTTCCCCATGTCTATGGTAAAGGATCATCACAATTTGTCTAACTGCTTCCTACCTTTAGTTAATTCGTGGGCTCAAGTAAGGAGTCAGTGTTCCTCAGCAAAAGCAGTTTTTAATCACATGTTACATGTTGGCACCAAGATTAGGGAATGGCAGGGCTGGGGCTAAGAGTTGGAGGGAGATGCTGCTGTGTTGTGGAGGAAGTGTAAACTTTGGAAACCAACTGAGCTGAGCTCTAGCCCCCACTCTGTGGCCAAACCCCTCTAGCTTCCATGCCATTCTCTATAAAATGGAGTGAAGACTGCCTTGTAGATTAGTTCTGATGACAAATTATTTAGAATAGGTAAACTAAATTACATTACCTAACACACAATAGCTGGTCAATAAGCATATAGCCTTAAGGGTACTGCCCAGCAAAATACCAGTGTTAGTGCTCAGCTCTGACCCACAGCACAGTTAGACATGCTCTCTCAGGGACCCTGGTGTTCCTGAGGACACATGGCCGTACCTGGAAGTACTTTTTCTGTCTTAAAAAGCCCCAGCATCATTCCACAGTCACACAATTCTCGTTCTTTCACTTTACATTATGGAATATCTACTGTGTGTGAGACAGTTCCTGGGCACCAAGACTGCAGATCCAGAGCCCTGATCTGCAGAGTTGCTGGTTTGCTTATGAAGTCAGTCACAGAAGCAGTTTCCATCACACAGGCTGTTTTATTCAGGATTCTTCAGAGAGACAGAACCAATATGAGTAGAGAGATTACATGGGGTTTATTAAAGAAATTGAATCACTCAATTATGGAGGCTGAGAAGTCTCATGATAAAGTGTCTCAGGCTGGAGAACCAGAGAAGCTGATCACATAGCTTAGTTCAACTTCAGTGACCCCAGAGCCAAGGACATCGGTAATGTAACTGTCAGTCTGAGATGAAGACCCAAGAGCCTGGGGCCATTAGTATGAGTTCCAGAGTTCAAAAACCAGAGAATCTGGAGTTCTGATGTCCAACAGCAGGAGGGTGTCCCAGCTCCAGAAGGATTCGCCCTTTTTTGGCCTTTTGGTTTTATCTGGACTCCCAGAAGTTTAGATGGTGCCCACCCATACCAAAAGCAGATCTCCCCGCCCCATCAGTCCACCCACTCACAGGCCAGTTGTTTCCAGCACCTTGCCAGACACACCTGGGGAAGCCTAGTCATTCTAACTAAATGCTAAACCACCTGGGTGTCCCTTTCAGCAGAAGAGGTACAGGCTCAGTGCCTGCTGAAACTTTGACATTAAACAGTGCAATGACTGAGAATGCATACTGCTTTATTAGCTCTCTGGATAGTCCTCAGTTTAATCAAGCTGACATACAAAATCAGCTATCATGCAAGTGCTGTGATAGACTTATGGATAGATGTATGTACAGGATGCTGGGAGAGAACAGGTGAGTGAATGAGGGCTTTCTGGAGGGGATGGGCTGAGGGGAACTGAATCTTGAGGTTAATGGATGCCAGCATCAGAGTGTGCTTAGAAAAACAGAGATTCCAGAAATTGGCCATTCAGTCTGGAAAGTCTGTCTCAGGAATCTGTATTTTAACAAGTGTGTTGATCAGTATTTCTCCTTGCTGTGACAGAATGCCTGACATAACAACTTAAAGAAGGAAAGATTTCCGAGGGTTCAGTCAATGGTGGGTGGCCCTGTTTCTGGGCCTGTCGTGAAGCAGTACATCATGGTGGCAGAGGCTGTTCACCTCATGTCAGACAGGAATCAGGAATCAGAGTGAGACAGGGAGCCAAGGACCAGATATCCCCAAGGACCTGCCCCATAGTAACCTAACTTCTTCCAGCTAGACCCCACCTTCTGAAGTTTCCACAACCTCCCAAAATAGTGCCACCAGCTAGGGACTAAGCATTCAACACATAAGCCTATGGGGGATGTTCATATTCAAACTATAAAAACCAGCAATCCTGTCACTCCCTCCACCAGATACTCGTGGATAAAAATACTCACTAAAGTTTGAAACCCCTGCCCTGTAAACTATGTAAAGTGGATTTGATGGAGATGTAACTGAGGCAATCACTTAAGAAAAGTTTAAAAGAAAAGGGATAAACCTGAGAAATATCTAGCAAACACAACCCAGAAAGTTTTGGAGAATGGATAGGAACAAGACAAGGGAGAGGACGGAATAGAAGAAATACCAATTGGACTTCAGGTTTCTGGCTGGTGGAAGAGGAGATGGAACCCATGAGCACAGGAGGTGAGCATTGGATACTGGCTACACCATGTTTCCCTGTTGAGCTGGTGCAGGAAGTAAAAGACATTCCCTTCCTGCCTCCTTGTGTGTACCTTTCCCCAGGCTCCAGGCTGGGGCAGAGCAGATGTGGATGGAGGTATAAATGGGGGTCAGGGAAATGGAGGAGAGGAGCTGGTGCCGGGGTTGGGGTTGATGATAAGCTTACTTTAGGCTATACATGGTTTCAGTGCCTATATCTAGCCTTTAGTCTGAAATGCAGTGGAATTCAACAAAGAGGTCTGAGCTAGAGATTTAGTTTGCAGTCAAAATTATGGACTGAGTTAGGTGTGGTGGCTCATTTCTGTAATCCCAATAACTTGGGAGATGGAAGCAAGAAAATTACGAATTCAGTGCCAACCCTGGGCAAATGTACCAAACTTTTAGCTCAAAAACAAAGTCAAAAGGTATGGCTCAAGTGGTAGAGCACCTGCCTAGCCAAGCACAAAGCCCTGAGTTCAAATCTAGTACTGAAAAAAAAAAACTGACTTGCACAAAAGAATTGATATCAGTGGACCTAGAACAGAACGAGGGGAGGTCCAGCAGAAGAGGAAAGGCTGTCTTTTTTGGGTTCCAAGTAGAAGAAAAATTTGACCGCTGCCTTTTCCACTGAGAAGTCGGGATTTTAGACAGTGTCTGCCTGTATTGGGATTACTGCCATACAAAGTACAGTCAGTATACATTATTCTCAGGAGTTTCTGTCTATAAAGTCCTCGAACTGGGATCAGCAAATACTGAATCCTCCTATAAGGGAAGCACAAAAGTAAGTTCCCAGGAGCCTCTGGTCACAACATTTTCATTAACTGATCAATACATACCTTTGATGTGATTGTGTGTTTAAGGCCCCTCATTTAATATAAATAGTTGATTCATTGGCATTGCATTCAGAGCACACAGCAGTATAACTTAGGCCTCAAGGAAGCTTATCTGTCACCATATTTTCTCTGTAAGGCACATCACAACCTTGCCATGCATAGCCACTAGCTCTCACTTCAGCACTAAACCTGGGAGCCATTTTCGATAGTGAAATCACCAATAAAAGCACAAAACTATGAGAAACTGGGCACCGTACAGATGAAGAAGAGGATATTTATAGAATGAGAGCTGAAACAAGAAAGCATGGTGTTGCCCTGTCTGGCCTCCTCTTGGAAAGGGTGCATGAGGAGACTTAAATTTTTGGCATATTAATTTGGGCATATCGAGCACTGAGAGTATTAATTTGGGGATGACAAGTAAACTTAAGCAGGGAAGAGTATTTGCAAATGTGGAATCCATTTCCACATGTTCAATGGATGGACGTTTAGTGGATGGACTATGTTCAATCACATTCACTTTGATGACTCCATTAATATGATAATTTAGTAAAGGAAACCATTTCTGTAACATCCATTTTCTTCAGTGAGTCAAATAATGGGACAACATAGTTTAATTGAAAGAGTTTTGGACATGGTATGAAGACACCTGAGGCCTAGGCTGGCCCCATGCCCACCACGACTTTCTCAGCCTATGTTTCTTGTTTCTAAAATCAGATTAATTGGCCTGAAATTTTTCCAAGGACCTTCCCATGTCTTTGGTTAGTTTGCTTTATTTGCCGTTTCAGCATAACAAAGATTCTCTTAAGTAGTATCTAGCAGGAAGAGTGACCAAAATTTAGACTGGCCTCTTGTCAAAAGCAGAGTAAACTATTGTTTCGGTGCATATTTTTAGAAGTGAACCACTAAAACTTTTTTGATATTCCAAATAATTGGGCAAGGAAGAGAGAAGAACTAGGAGCCTCTTCTAAAATAGGGTGAAAACTTGAAACTAAAAATGCTTGCGTTATTACCTGTGTGCAGTATTTTAGTTTGGATAGACACTCTTAAGAGCTATTAGAATGGATTTCTTTTTTTATCCTTAACAATAGCTTCTAGAAGATGTGTTGGATTTTTTTTTTTCTTTCATGCCAGGGGGTTAGACTGGGAAGGGGGAATCTGAGAACACCCTTCACCTAAATAGATAAGCATAAATGTTAACTATATAAGATGCAGTCCATTCTGTGATGGTTCAGAACTATTAATGCAACCTCTGGCCAGGTTAATAATCTACTTCTTCAAACCACCTGCTGCATACTGAGCACTGTGTCTTAAAACACATGTGCCTGGCTATGTTATGAGCCTGCCTAAAGCCTTTGGTGGCCTAAGGGAAGTAAAAGACACACACTGCCTCCTCCCCTAGCTACTTCTCCCTTACCTATGTAGTGAGCTAGCCACCCCAGGAAGTTTGGTATTCCCTGAAGAAGTCTGGTGTTTTCACCCTCTCTGTCTGAGATATATTTTACCATCATTCCATGTGGCAAGCTCATCTGATATCTTATAAAACAGCTGGGCTGTTTTCCACTCCAAGAAGTCTCCCTGCCTCTACCAAAGTACAGCAAGATGTTCTTTTCTCTCTAATTATCAAAAGACAAGTAGCTAGGGATATAGTTCAATGGTAGAGATTTTGTCTAGCATGCACAGTGGTCTACTTGAAATGAAGAGGTCTCTGTGCATCAGTCAGCACCCTCTATAGGGTGGGTACAAATACCATCCACTCAAAACTCTAAGGGCCTCTCTGCCACATCCCACCCTCTGGGTACTTGGTGGATTTGGGTCCACAGTCCCTGCCCTGACCTGCCCCCCTGCTCCAGGAAGCCCCTGGTGTACACAAGAAATCATTTTTTCTCCTCTGAGAAATAAGGTTTAAGAAAAAGTTTGCCAGAGTGGTTGTCCTATATATGGAAAGGTCACATATTTTAGGTGAGAAAAGTTTTCAAAACTCTGGCATGGACATATAGTTCTCAAAGGAGGATTGCAGGTGGTTTTAGCACAGAGGTGTTTGGGGCCTAGAAAACGCCTCCAGGCTCTGGGGAACTCTGGGATGGAGCAGCACCTAGAGAGGCGTGAAGTGTGACACGCCCTGCACTTGAAAGTGAGGTGCTTCTTGCAGGCAACACCCTCCACAACAATCCTCCCCTTCCTCCTGGTCATCAGGTACCCTTTGCCATCAACTGAAAGGTCACTCTTAAAGGTTAAGATAACATTTGAAGTGTCCATGGATGACTTACTCAACTTAGAGTTCCGCCTTCTAGTCCTGGCTAACCTGTGGTACAATCCTTGACCAGGCAGGTGGGAAGAGATGGGAACTCCCAACAGCCTTGTAGCAGTTTCTTCTACTCCTCCCTCCCCCAGCTTGTCTGAACTTTTCTCTCAACTTTGAATCTCCATGGCAAATTCTTTTTGTAAACTCTTTTGGAGGGGTTCATTTTTGTACTTGAAATATAATTCATGCAACCCTTTTAAAGTGTGCACTTTACAAGCATGTACAACTACCACATCTCTACTTTTTACTTGCACCATGTTTAATCATCCCCTTAAAATTCTGTGACCCTCAGGACTAACTGTTCCCAACCCCTTCCAGCTCCTGGCAACCACTAATTTACTTTCTGTCTCTCTGGATTTGTCTATTCTGGACATTGCATATAAGTGAATCAGATTGGCCTTTGTATCTGACTTCTCTCATTTGGTGTAAAGTTTTCAAAATCCATCCATGTTATAACATGTATCAGTACTGCCTTCCTTTTTTTGGATGAATAATATTCCCTTGAATGTCTACACCACACCTTATCCATCCAGTAGTTGGCAGAAGTTTACTTGGGTTGTTCCCACTGTTTTTGCTATTATGAGCAATGCTACAGGAACATTCATGTCCAAGTTTCTCATTAACATGTTTCAGTCCTCGGGTTTGTACCTAGGAGTGGAATTACTGGGTCACATGGTCTTTAAAGTGGACTATTGTTGAACGAGCAGTTTTTATATGAGCGCTTGCAATATCCTCGTGGCATTTTGAAGGTCTTTCAGAAATCATATTGAAAATCAATGCCATTGATAGATTTGAAGTCAGAGAATTCTAAGAATACAGACTTCTCAGAAATTTGGAGTGGACCTTTGGATTAAATGTCAAAGTTCCCATATGTCCATTTTTTTTGTTCCCGCAGTATTTTCTTCACTGAGCCTTGGCTTGCTTCCAGAAAGATCTGCTACTCTCATGGTCTATGAAGATGTCGTCCAAATAGTATCAGGATTCCAAGGTATGTTTAATATTTAAAAAGAGAAGGGACAGTGCCTCTTGGGCAAGCTACTACAATCTTATGAGGGACCCACTTATTGTCGGATAGACACAGCAGTGAATTTGTCCACAGCTGGGACATAATGTGTGTTGTCCCTGTGAGAGTAAAGCATATCTGAATTTCAGTCAGACTATCGGTTGAATGTAATCTGATATCTTTCAGGCCTATGCTTGAAGCATGAGAAGGACGAGATGGGGCTGCCCTGTCTGTCTCCTGCTGTCTGTCTTTCTTCACCAAAGGAGAGATTGTTGATCCCATTTGGGTTGCAGTCCAGGGCACTCCTGGGCTGCATTTACTAGCAGACGCGGTTACTTGCAAAGGCTAATAAGCATTTGAGTGTGGCTTTGCCCTCTCTTTTGCCTGTCATGTGATGTCTATAAATATGTCCTCCCTCTACCCCTGTCTTGGCTCCTACAGAGTTCATAGAAAAATTTCAAGGAACTTGTTTTGTTCTTACGATTGGGGTTGGAATTGGAAACAATACTTGTATACAACATATTCCTGTGCTGAGATTATTTATTCCTCTTTGATCATAGGCCTGAGAGTCATATTTTCTGGTACTGAGTTAATTTTTTAGTTAACATTTGGCCCTCCTTGTGCAGAGGTTTGTGTGTTCTGCACCTATGGATTTGACCAAATTTGGAAAAAATCTTATTTTTATGTCACTACCAAACAGCCGCATTTCTTGCCGTTATTCTCTAGCTGATAAATATGGCAGCTGTTTGCATAGCACTCACATTGTATTAGGTATTGTAAGTAGTCTAGAAGTGACTTAAACTACACAGGAAGATGTGCGCAGGTTCTGTGTAAACACTGTGCCATTTTATTTAAGGAACGTGAGCATTTGTAGATTTTGGTATCCACGGGGGTCCTGGAACCGATGGTTTGCACATACTAAGGGATCACTATGTTCTTTAATTCTAATGCCATGTTACACCCATTGCTCACTACCAAAGCAAATTCCTATGCCATTTGCAGATGAGGTGAATTTGACCAGGCATGGTGACTCACAACTGTAATTCCAACTACTCAAGAGATGGAGAATGTGAGGATTACAGTTCTAGGCCAGCCCAGGCAAAAAGTTAGCACGACCCCATCTTAACAAATAAGCCAGGATGGTGGTACACGCCTGTCATCCCAGCTGTATAGGAAACATCAATAGGAGGATTGATTCAAATTTTTTATTTGAAAAAAATAACTAAAGCAAAAGGGCTGGTATGGTGCAAGTCATAGAGTGCCTGCCTAGCAAGTGTAGGGCTCTGAGTTCAGACCCCAGTACCACCAAAAACAACAAATAAATAACTAAAGCAAAAGGGTCTGGAGATGGGGCTCAAGTGGTGTGTACCTGCATAGTAAGCATGAGGCCTTGAGTTCAAACACCAGTGCCGCAAAAAAAAAAAACACCAGTGGCTCACACCTGTCATCCTAGCTACTCAGGAGGTAGAGATCAGGAGGATTGTGGTTCAAAGCCAGCCTGGGCAAAGAGTTCACAAGACCCTATCTTGAAAAAACCCTTCACGGAAAAGGACTGGTGTGTGGAGAGCAGAGTACATAAGCACAGCTATGTCAAATAAACTGCAGGCTGAGTTTGTCATGGCCCCAGCCACAGAATGGAGTGAGCACAGTTATGTCCAATAAACTGCACTGGTGGTGTGGCTCAAGGTGTAGGCCCTGAGTTCACACGCCAGTACTGGGGAGGAAAAAAAAAAGAATGAGGTGAACTCACTCATTCCTTCATTATTAAGGGCTGTGGTGATATACAAAGAGTTTAACATGCAGCTACTGTTCTTAGAATTTGAAAGGAAAGAAGCAAAAGTATCTGGCAGCATTTATGACTTGAGTTTGGGAGAAAAAAACGGGAATAGAAATATAGATTTTAGTGTCATCTGCACAGTAAAATCTATAAATCATCTTATATCCCTAAGAGAGAGCAACACTGGGCCTGAGTCTTCCATAATCACACTGTGGCCTAAATCCTTAGCCTTGGTACTATTCTTTTTTTTTTTTTTTTTTTTAGTTAGCTTTGCTATGAGGCTCCATATTGCTCAACCTCAAGGACATTACCCTTGACAGTCACTCTGTCTTGAAACTATCTTCCTTCACTTCTATGACATCGTGCTTGGATTTTCTTTCTTCCTGTGTCTTGATCATTCCTTGGGATACTCCAATGCCTGTCCTGGGCCTGCACTTCTTTCCCTTCTTTTCCCTGGAAGATCTCATCCAGACCTCCCAATTTCAGTGTTCCTTAGGTGCTGACTACTCCTAATTCCCTCTTTCCAGCAGAGCCCAGCCTCCCCTGTGATGGAGGCTCTAAGGTAGCTGCTTATTTGGCATCTCCACTTCGATGCCTAATGGTCGTCTCCAGCTTCACATGAACACACAGAGCTCTTGATTGGTTTTGTCCTCATTCTAGCTCAATAATGATGTAAACACATACTGAACTTGACCAGGCAGAAACTTCACAAATTATTCTTGATTATTCTCACATCTCACTCCTCTGTCCAACTTCTTCTCTCTATCCCTGTTTCCACCTCAGGCATCCAAGACACCCCCGTGTTCCCTCCAAGCACTGAAGAAGGTTTTTAACTGGTGATTCTGCTCCCACTCTTGCTAAACGCACATGCTGGTTCTCACAAGGCAATCTCAAAGCTATCAAGGCATCTGCTTCAGTTCTTCAGTGATTTTTCCATGGTACTTGGAATAAAATTGAAACTCTTTACTGTAAAGGACTGGACAATACCATTGCCCAGAGCCTCTGGTGGCTGCCACAGTTATCCAGGGGTCATTGTTGATAAAGGGACAGTGTTGCAGCGTGAAACACACGGTTTCCCACAAAGCAGCCTGCTGCCCCCACTGCCCTCCACACATAGCTTTTGGGCCCCACATGGTTGTTGTCAGCCTCTTCTCTTACCCCTCACAATCATTTGTGATACTCATTGTACCTACATTTATCATTATTAAGTGTCTAAAAGAGAAAAGGAGTAATACCTTTTCTATCCTCTTCCCTTGGAGTAGTTCTGTTCTTAAAGAGGCGTTTGTGGCCAGGGTTAACCTCTAGGGTACAGAGCAGTAGCCACACTATTCCGTTGTGGCTGCCTGACCTCTCCTTGGCTGCCTCATCAACAACTCACTGTCACCTGCCAGCCCTGACACCCAGCTGTCTCCTCTTGTTGCTCTGAGGGGGGTATACGAAGGATCCCAGAGTCCCTGTCATAATGCCATCAGTAAGCAGCCACCCTTTTCCCATGTAGCAATTATATATGACCTTCATCTCCCCTTCTTGTATCCCCATGAGTCAAATATTGTTACAGTGAGCTGCATTGTCTTAACATCCTGATTCATTTCACAGTCAATGTCCCTATGCCTACACGCAATTTCATTATTTTCTGTGCCCGTTTGCACTGACAGGACCCAGGCACGCACTTAGCCCTGGTGGATCTCCACAGGTGCCCCCCACTGGTGCTGGCCTTCAGCAGGAGAAAGAGAGACTTCCTGCCTTACGTCTCTCCTTTCTAATACACACTGAACTACATATTTATTCCTCCTGAGGCTGAGCTCAATTCCTTTCTCTTCCTTCTTGGCTCCCCTTTGCCTGTGGAACAAAATCTAGGGCCCTTATCAAGCTCTCACAGGCCAGTGTGATCCGGACGTGACCTAATACTTCATGTGCTGTGTTCTAGACTAACTGAATCTCTTTTACTGTTTTCCATCTGGGACATCCCAAATGGAAACAGCAAAGCCAGCTTAAATGTCACATTTTCCAGGTCCTTCCTGTATCTCCACTGCAGATGGGAGTCATGCCACCTGCCTTGCCCTACAACCTCGGCTGTGAAGGGGCTTGGATCATTTGACCCTATCCCTCCAGGCTGTGGCCATTGGGTCTAGTGTAGACACTGACACATGGTTACCAGCCCAGAGAGTGGCCAGGGATTGAGACCTGGCTGAAGCCAGCTGCTCTGGTCTCTCTTCCTCTTACTGGGATTGAACTAAGTACCCAAGAGAGGTGAGAATTGTAGCTGAACAGTCATGAGGTGCAGCCTGGGCCTGGGTCCTGGCAAGGCCACCTGTAAGCCAGTTAGAGGAAAACAGAATGGCTGAGGAAACAGAGAAAGTCACCTGGTATCGGATTGAAAAGAAGCTAACTGAGGGTTAATAGCATTGTGACAAAGACACAGCATTCGAGTGAGTCCCACACACTCCTACCTGGTCATCCTAGAGCTGCCCAAGTCTAGTACCAGCCGCACAAGCCCCTAGAATTTCCATGCCCTCTGGCTCCTGTCTTCAAGTGCCCATAGTCCCTGTCTCCTCATCTCCCCTTGTGTCCTTACAAACAACCCTCCCTCTGGGGATGCTGGATATTTTCATGACATCTCCTTTTCTGTCATATTTGGTGGTATACCTTTTCTCACCAATTAAATTTTAAAACCTGAAGGGTGAGGACTATGTTATCATCATCTTGGTTCCTCTAGAGCCAGGCTCTTTGCCTGCCTCATAACACGTAACGTACCCAGTGAGTGGTTCATTGAACAGTTGAGTAAACAGATACAGAGGGAAAAATATCTTAAAATCTGGTCACTTTGTGTCTCTCCTATGTATACTACTTATTCCATGGTCAGTTTTCTTTCACACACACACAGAGAGAGAGAGAGAGAGAGAGAGAGAGAGAGAGAGAGAGACTTGAATAGCTCTTTCTCTGTGTGTGAAACAAGAAGGATGGTTGCATTACGAATAATCCCAAGGGGGTAAGTCATTCAGGTAGTTTTTGTTACAGTTCATTTATTCAGTGTATTATATCCCTGCCTCCTGTAGCAGGAATCATTTCTTCCTTTCTATAATCTCATTTCCATGCCAGCTTCTTAAAAATTACATTTGGTTAATTTTTAACCATTCCATGAGTTTAATCATGTTTTTACCGTCTCTTTTCTCAGTAGAGTTGAGGCATGGCGGTAATATAATGGATG